AGGATGAAACAGCAGCTGTCCAGTACTCCCTGGTTTTCAATGGTTCTCTAACTGATATCAATCCGTGATCAACCCGTAAAACACAATTTTATTTTATTTATTTACCATACATGTTGATACCCGTTGCATGGCTCATGATTGGACAAAGTTTTAAAAACAAAAATGTCCCTTTTGTATATATAAACTTTGTTATGTTAATTTCGATTAATTTCCCTGAAGAAGTTCGGACCAGATTGCCGAACGAAACGTTGGAATTAATTAATATCAGTAAAAGTTTTGAGCATTTTGGATTAGATCAAATAAAGTATAATTATATTTTAATAGTTTACACACAATGATAAGTTTTGTTATTGGTAATATTTCGAGCAAAATTACTGCCCGTGTTCACACCACTGTTGGAATTGATCGTTGGAATTAATCATTTCAGTTTCACTGAGATTTTACATATATAACTTTATAAAATAAAGTTCATGAAAATGACTCAGTTAAATAAAAACAAAAGTACATACTAATGACCAATCATATTTAGATAGGTCATGCAGTCCAGTGTAGGCGAAGATTGAAGTCTATTGATTTTTGTATACTCAATTTAGGCTGTATGTGATTAATCCATCACCTTCAATAACCTTGAATTAGAGTTATGTGAAGTAATTGTGAAACAGTCATGAATATTGATTTTGTGACCAGACATTAATAAGTGTTTTGCAATGGATGATGATGCTGGATTTCTACTAAGACTAATCGCGTTAGGATTTTCGATATGGTTTCATTCCATGATTTTTGATTCTTTTGTTACTTTTCATCGTTGCCTAATGTTCAACAATTTACGCGATATGATTAGAATAATTTGCTAAATTCCATTCGGTATAAATTCCTTTGTGCTTTTCACAGAAGATTACTAGTAGTAATTCCTCTTCCAGATGCTATATTATCAAACTGTAAATGTCATTTTTAGCTAAGTATGAAACCAAATATGTATAGACCAATTAGATTAACTTTCTATTTGATGCCTTCTTCAAATAAGAAAGTAAACACTGTTATGAAATGTGCTAATTCATTTTTCAGAGATTTTTTTCATTCCCTTTGTTCCGAGTAGAACATAGGGCTACAAGCTCTGAGGTTTCAGTAGCAGTGATGTTGTTTTATGGGGTTAGGTTACTTGTCTCATGCTCATTTTTCTAACTTTTCTGGTCTTACAACTGGTTAATAAACCGGGCGAGGTTTCTGATGTGTGCTGGCTGAGAGCCAAACTGGGACTATGTTCGTGGTTTCGGAGCACTCTGCCACTGAACTATCGATGCACTCTTTAAAGTTAAAAGGGATCTATTAAGGACAGGAAATGACCCCTTCATCACACAAATTTACATGAAAAAAAAATACTTAACATTCATCAAGTTTGCTCATATACCCCGCTATGCGCTATGATTCACTTTACCAAAGTTTTACATTTGATGTCAATTAGTTAATCTTAACGTCTCATACTTCTATGAGTGGTATTTAGACGTTCCTGATTCTAAGATGCTTCAGTCTCCTGTTTATTGACTTCATTAAAATAGAATTCTTAAAGATAATCATATGAATATTACATTTTCTAGATGGCTTTTATAACTTCTGTCTGTAAGCATGAAGTATTCAAATTCTATTTTTCCGAGTGAAAATTATAATTTTATATTGAGAGTAAGAGGATCAATAAACAAACCAAATTATAGTTATATTCTTTGGCAGATAGGCATTTAATATTAGAGGGCGAACAAATATTAGCATTTAAAGGATGTGTCATTTGCACTCAGAAAGAAGTAAATTTTCACCGAACTATGAGTGTTTCTGGCAGCTTAAACTAAACATTTTTGATGTACTTCATAAATATTAAAGTGTAATAGGAACATTTTGCTTTTACCACGCCTCACTTATTTCATTTTCCTTGATAAATTGATTAAACTGTAGTTAAGCTAATAATAATCTACCACACACAAGTGAATGAAGTAATAAGTAAATGTACAGTCTCAAGTAGAATCGAAATTTCGGGCACACTTTGTATCTTCATATACCTATAAACTCATTTATCTGGAGAATACAATTTATATGCTCAAGGTAAAAATCAAATGACTGGTGAGGTGTACTGTGAATCGGTTCATTTAATTTTAAGCTGAGTTTTGTTAATTCTAGTTTTGTATTATTTTGATAAAGCTTCATAGTAGTTAGTTAAAACAACATCATTTTGCGTCTCATTCATTCAAAAGTATCGAATTCTTCTGACAGTAGACATCATACACCCTCTGTTTATGGCACATATTGTCACCTGCAGTTTTTTCTACCCTGTATTAATTTTTAAGTTTGATCACCAGCTACTGACTACAGGGTGAAACTGTCTGAAATTCTATCAAGAATTCGTGACTACCAGGGTCCACCTAATTGAGCATGATGACAAATAATCGGCAATCACAATGACTGGCGGTTGCTCTAGTGTAATAGATCAGAAGCAGCTAGAATTGACTGGCCACTGAATTCCTTCCTAGTGGCCGACTGGTCAGCGAGACGGCCTTCTAACTTAAATGTCGTGGGTTCGATCCTTGGTACCTACTGACGAAGAGTCCAAATAAAGAACGAAATAACTATCGAACACTCCCTGGTTGTCACTGGTTTTCTAACTGAAGTCAGTTTGTGGGCGAATTCGTATCAGTTCTTGTTCTCAGTGTTCAACAATGAAGTGAAGGTTCTGCAATCTCTATTTCATAACAATTGAAGTTATATGAGGATATGAAGGCATTGTAACTAGATTTACTTATATGCTTACACAAGATCTCCCTTATTAAAAGCAAGCGGACAAATCCCATGAACGCAATATTGCATACATATTCTGTTATGCCTATGTGTCACAAAATCAATGCGAACAAGCCTTTTAGTTGCAAAATAAGATATTTTTCAGAATCTCTGTGCAAGTTAAATTTCACAAATAACTGCTGTACATGTTTTAAATTATTATAGCTTTTTGGTTTTCCTATTGAAGAAGGGCTATTAGTTGCTCCCCTTTTTCCAAGACATGCCACTGTCTGGTCTGTACGTTTGATGAAAACATTAAGCATATGATTAAATTTACAATATTAACATGTTATTCAGTTGACAGTATTTAATATTTTTAATTTGACTACATCGAGTGCACCTATGAAACCTCTCTAAATAGGAAGCAGCGAGTGGATCGTCCTAGGGTGACATTGGAGGGTATCGTACGAGGAGAACGTGAGAGATTATGAGCAATCCTGGATGCAGATGAAGAGGATGGCAGAAAATAGAAGAAAAATGAGATGTGTTGTTCCACTCGGAACCTCCCAGAATAATAATAATAATAAAGTATTTGCAGCGATCCCTTTTACAATTACAAGCACGACCTACCTTTCTTCATACCTCGTTTTCCTTTGTAGAACACAGGTCATGTAGCTGCGAAGTTTCAAAAGCCGTGGTATTGCCTTCACAGGGCTTGGTATCTAGCCTCACATCTTATCTTCCCTGTTTCAACCTAGTAAACTATGCAAGGTTCAGAAGTGCACCGGGAGTCCAACACGAACTTCTGCCATTGAACTACAGATACAACCTAACTTACCCATAAATCTTCAATGACTGACTACCTAGATTAATTAGGCATTTACATGATTCTATAATTATTTTTGTCACCAAATCAACAACTCTTCACTAATTCCTATACTTGAAGTATAATTTTATTAACCACAACAATACGAAGTGTCTGTGTTGAATAACACTAGTATATAATTATAACCTCTAGTGTTATCCATGTCTAAACCTGTTAAGCGGTTCCTGATTATGTTTTGTGTTATACATATCCAACAACCTAAACCTTTGAGGCTTTTTGACAAATTCTAGCAAAGGACTTCTGCTTTAGTATGCAATATTACTCCTAAGAGCATTTTATTTCATGTAAAGCACAGTTACGCGGTACTTATACTTGAACAAAGTTTTGAACACAATCCACCTGATAAAGTAATATCAAATTATGTATAAAATATTTAAGAGACATAAAAACCAGAGTTTGAAAATGAATGGGAATTAAACTACCTAGTATTGGAAGCTTTCTAACTGTCATAATATGCATCTGAGCAGAAGTATTCTGACAATTAGTAATCCTGCATATTGACGTCCTGTGTTGGAAGAGGATGCCTGATTAGAAATACGTTTTAGGGTAGGCACATATTTAGAAAGTCTGCACTCATTGGAATTCATGCATAAGATTCATTCATGACTTCAGGGAGGTTTACATTTCCTCCAGAATTTCAGTCCGTTGATAAAAGAAGCAATTTTAAAACTAGGCACACACTATACTATGCGGCTTCAGTTAACATCCATATAAGTAGGCAACTGTATTCTGTGTCATTTCGTAGTATCCAATTGCAATATTTGTCTGATTATGAACATTTATAACAAATAAATTAATATCTAGAGAGGTCATTCGGAATAACGCTTTGAAGAAAAAGTATTTTCATTCGGCTGAGAACGACGTTTAAGACAGTATCCTAAAATAAACCAAGAGTTATGATGTTTCCCTCTAATAGTTATTCAGGAATGAATAGTTTGATACGTGTTTTTGTGCACTATCGACTTTCATTTTTTTGGGTAATTAGAGTATGATTCTTCCTTCCATTTCAGTTTTCTTTCTCTGTTAATGTTATATATAGAAACATAAAATAAATATTGGTGGACTTTACAGATTTTATTATAGATACAACATAAAGAATTTCATTAATTACTGTAGCGAAAATGTATATTAATGAAGAGGAATAGTTCCCATGATTTCTTTAAATGTCGCCAAGTGCTTCCTCAGACAGTACTTATATTAGTTTCAGTTGCCCTACACACCAGTGAGACTGGATAATTAGAATAGCAACAAGTCTAATTTTTTTCCTTCTAGTTGCTGGTCAATGTATGTTTTCTGAGTAAGTTCAGCGAAAATGTTTCAATGTATTCATTGGCTGCGCTGCATTTGAATATTTTTAGTTGTCAGTTTCTTTAACACTAGACAGTGGAGTAAATAAATGGATCAAGGATAAATTAACTGGCTGTTTGTTGAAGTCTCCAGTGGATGCCATTTTCATAAAATTGTCTGAGCACGTCGGTCTTGTAACTGGAATTAGTGAAACTGTTGTCGTTTCAAGGCTATCACCATTTCCGCTGTCTTGATCAACGGATGAGAGACTATTTCTTTTGGCCTGCAAGTTGTAAAAAAATAAGTTGTTAAAACATAATATCTTTTATAAATTCAAAAGTTTTCAGTAAGAATTCTTTATTTCTTAGAGAAATAGATAAACGGGTCGGTTTCAGTATTTCAGTCGGAATTTTAGTGCACAGAACAATGAGACAGATATGACAAAACTCGTTCCTGCTGTCTACTGTACATTTGTGTTACACATTACGTGAATATATATAATATATGTTCAGTTCCTAAGACGTCTGTCAACCTGAATTACTGGTTTAAAAGAGTGCTGATGTGAAATATAATTTTACAATGAGTACATTAGGTTGTTATTGCAATGGCATAGATTTGATTTTGAAAACGGACTTCGGATGAGTGGTTCTATCTTGTTTTCTTTAAGAGATGTATAGACAAAACGCTTTCATGCATACTCATCGTAGCTATTTTGCAGAGATTGTGGAAAAATTTGTATAATTTATCAACAAAAGAGAAAAGACTTACCAAGTTACAAGCTGTAATAAAATATGATGCCACTTCCACCATAATAAGCAACCAGTATGACTATACTTTTTATACTTTCTTCTGTTCTGTATATTGCTATTTATGAGTGCTGAACTTAAAGCTGATACAGCGACCTAAATTCTTAGAACAACTTTGCCTAATCGCTGAGAAAAGCAGTTTTTCGGCCGAGCTACGGGTCGATTTCTACAGTTCGCAAATGTTAAATGGACAGACAGTACCCTTTCTAAACAAATTTCTGGATACCATTCTTCATGGTTATCAAAAAGACAATACAAGTTTACTACCTGTTCAGTTCTTGAGGACCTAAACAGCTCACGGTACGCAGCTTCAGCTAGTTCCCTTTTAAAATTACCTGCAAGTTAAGGTCAAATGGTAAAAGGGTGTTATGGCTCGATACTTGTATATAGCAGTGATGGTAGCTACTCGCCAGTGTAACATGGAATTCTGTGTGCAGGAAAGGTTTGTTTAGTCTTTTATTCTATCATGGTCCCGAACTGCTTTTCACTTGTCTGCTTATATTTTTGATAAGTAATTCACTACTATCACTCTACATGTTATTTTTGTGCATTTTACTAACGCTTTTCTTCTCACCTCAAACTTGTCAAGTGGATATTCAACCTTACTGCTTCATATCTAGTAGTAGTTTTAACTTTTCGAATTTGAAATCTTTACTTCCATCCTATTGCTAATTATTAATTAATTTATTTTTGTTTTTCAGGATTTCATCATGAGCTGACATTAGTTAGAGAACCATTGGAAAACCTGGGAGTATTGGACAACTGTTTCGTCCTACTTTGGGACTCATCATCAGTACACACCCACCGGGATTCGAATCCAGGACCTTCCGGTTACAAGGTGAGCTCGTATACCATTAAGCCACTGGGACCCGATCCAATGGTCCTTGAATTCTAACTTCTGCCAATTCACGACATAGCGTGACCGCTAGCCAATGTCTTTGGCGAGTATTTGTCCTCACACCCGACCAGCTGCACCCTACTGGTCACGACTTCCCACTGGAACCCAGGTAACTACCTACCTGAATAGGGCCAGTCACCAGTGAGCATCTCATTGGTATTCAATCCCTACAAACCAACACTTGATTATCAATGAGATGCTCACTGGTGACTGGCCCTATTCAGGTAGGTAGTTACCTGGGTTCCAGTGGGAAGTCGTGACCAGTAGGGTGCAGCTGGTCGGGTGTGAGGACAAATACTCGCCAAAGACATTGGCTAGCGGTCACGCTATGTCGTGAATTGGCAGAAGTTAGAATTCAAGGACCATTGGATCGGGTCCCAGTGGCTTAATGGTATACGAGCTCACCTTGTAACCGGAAGGTCCTGGATTCGAATCCCGGTGGGTGTGTACTGATGATGAGTCCCAAAGTAGGACGAAACAGTTGTCCAATACTCCCAGGTTTTCCAATGGTTCTCTAACTAATGTCAGCTCATGATGAAATCCTGAAACCAATCATATCCCTACAAACCAACACTTATTTATTTTTGTCTTTAGAAACCACTTTTGAGTAAATGTATCAGTTATGTCACAAACCCTTATCAATCAGTAATGAACTGCTTTACATTTTCGGTAAACACAAATTTGACTGTACAGAATCTGAGGAAGACTTCAATGATAGACAATTTTTTGCTGACATATCGTTTATTTTTCTCATCACTCAAACTGTATTTCCGGTATTTTAAATCAAATTAATGTCCACAGAGACGCAATTTTAGCCCCATATTACCTTTTAAAACTTTAATTAGCTGAGAAACTGAGATACAAGAGTATCCAATCATACAAATATCCAATTTTCAAGAAATCAGTCAATAGTTTTGCAATTCTAATGGTAATTTCAGCCTATTTTTTGATCTATGGTACTAATAACCGAAGATCTATTGAAAATTACAACGGTGGTAATGGTCATTTTTTATAGCACATAATTATTTTAAGAAGTTTCCTAACAGAACTATACCTTAACAGATGTGTTAGATGATGACCGAAGAAGTGTTGCCAACTCATTGACTTCCCAGAGCTTTGAAATCAGCAGAGAAATCTTGAAAATGATATCATTCTTAACAAGTTTGTATCTTATTAGTTAAACTAAAAAGGTGTACGAATCACGCTTTATTTGGATTTAAATTCTGTGATATTAAGAAAATAGCTCTGCGTGAACACTCTCCCCTACATTACTCATAACTGTGTTGACTTAAGTTAGTACACATCACTTATTATCCTGAATAATAATAGTATTGTTGTATGTCACATCTTGGGCAACACCCTGAGTTTCTATGATATTTTATCTGAAGCTTGAAGTGAGTGAACAGGAATAACTCATGAAGAAAATAAAACGTTCTGAATTTTTTTCCATTACTCTTCTGTGTATAAATGTCATAACGGTTTTTAGAAGTTCACTGTCAGGCAAATACGCTATTTACTGGCACCAAGTCTTAATTGACAATACATTTATTATCAGTAAATTCTCTGGTTTGTATCACGGTGAGACTTTGGCTACAACTACTTCTTTTTGACAGATTTTATGTCAAAATGTAAAGAACGTTTTTTTAACTTGTCAAAACATGATTATCCCTGAATACAATTTGTAAAGAGCAGTCAAAACAGTTTCTTATTATATGTATTCTAAAGGAATTTGCACAGTAGGAGTACAAATAAAGGACTGTCGAGTTTTCTATAGAACACAAGTTAGCAAGTCAGGCGTTTGCTTTTTATTGCTATCTATGGATTAAAAGCGTATATATAGTAAATATTCCAAACAAAACATTGACATTTCCTGATAGTAATAATGATCAGTGAATAATATCTAAGATAATAAAAGATTATTAGCGGCTTAAAGTAAGTAGGACAGAAAATATAGAATGATTTCTGTTTGGATTTCTATTACATATTTATTTTCCATCTTTTTACAGACTAATGCACATAACGATGTCATAGGATCGACAACCGCATAAATAATGCAGGAGTCTTACTGCATTTCTCACTGGAAAACTTTGTTCAACTAGAATCCATATGGATAAACATGATATTCTTGGATTCTAAGTGAAAGCATATTAATGCCATTTAACTTACCGGACATGTGCAACATAATTTAATAGAAGAATGGATTTAATTTTCTGGTTTTTTCAATGCAGCTTCTTTGCTAGTCTCTGATACCAAAATCCGTTTGCGCCTAGAATATAGGTTTTCTAAAAAGTACAACAGTAGATCCACTTCTTGAGGCGCAAATCTCAAATAATACAAATCACCTTTGCAACTATAAGTGTCATTTTATCTAAAACAATAAAGTGACTTTCCATAATGTACATCCTTCAGCGTACTATTTGCCTAGTATTTACTAAATGAGGCACTTATGTTTTCCTCTGTTATAAGTCAAAAAAATGCAAGAACTGTTTTCCCGCAGCTTGAATTATAATTTTTGTGAGTAAATATTTATATACCATAACTACAATAACGTCAGACTTAATTTCATCAGGGGTTCATTGATACAGCCTCGGCCAGAATTTCTATGGTCTAAACTGATTCAGCGATCCAATTTGAGTCAAACCAGGAACACTACAGATGACCTCAGCCCCAAACAAGCGAAACAACTGTCCGATGTTTAGATCACTTCGATCTGGCTAGCAAGCACTCCTAGCTGATGTGAGTAGTGTCCAACTACTCATGTGAGCCAACCAGTGATATATGGCGTCGTGCATTTATGCTTGTTTTCCTGGATATCACTTATGGTATCAAGCGGATCACACATTGTGATGTGAATAATCTTGGTTTCCGAAGGAAACTATGGTGAAATTTACCTCCTTTAATTGTGGAATCTGGGAATAGCCAAGTAGTTTGCAGATTGCGAATGTGAGGTTTTTCTTTTCACTAGTAGGGTATATTTCTTTTTTGTATGTGCAGATGTCATGCTGTAAATGTGCGGTCATTTGACCACTTGTTTTCTTATTGCAAGGAATGACAAAATCTATAAGTATAAAACTTGGGCACTGTGGTAGAGTATAACTGCATTATAGATAAGATTTTATTTTGATAAATCACACAGTGTTGTACAGTTATATTAACTGATGACGTTTCGAGCACAAATTATTACTCATAATCATATCATAATCATACCATATCACTTGATATGATTATGAGCAATAGTCTGTGCTCGAAACGTCATCAGTTAATATAACTGTACAACACTGTGATTTATCAAAATAAAATCTTATCCATAATGGAATGACAAAATCTACATAAACAGAATTCCGTAACTCACCAGTTGTGCATGAAAACACGCATGTTGAAATTCTGATGTTTTCGGTTTCACTAAACTGTTAATATCAAAACTTTGAGGTTCATTCAAGCAAAATTCAGCGACTGAAAACTGTACTGTCCCTTCATTTTTATTGTATGGTGATTGAAAATCTTTAAAATCTTTCTTGTATAAATCGTTCGCTTTATCACTGTTTTTAAAATTCAGTTTCTCTAAAGTCATATCAGAGGAATTTGAATGATGACAAGATGTTGGCTGGACTAAGGTAGCATTTAGATGTATGCTAAGTAGATCATCGTGTTCTTCAGAATGAGTAGGATACAAGATGGTTATTGGCTGTATAAAATTTGTGTCCATCATCCTGGCGGAAATTGGTTCAAGACGAACAATAAGTGGATGTGGAAAAACTTCAGTTTGAGTCTGTGAACGATATTCATCAGAAATGTTCCAAATTTTATATAGATTGTCCATTTTAGGTGAAAGTGAATTATAATTAATAGCGGTTGATATATTAGTGGACGAAAGTTCCTCTATCGCGATCTCATTTAACTGATTCTGCATAGGTGAACTGATGTTGCTTCGGTTGTCATCACACCTGAGCCTATTTTTTTTCTGTCGGATGTCTGAAAGGAAAGCACAACAAAGATAAAGACAATTAGCATTTGATAGGTTAGAAAAATAATACAGTACATTGGTTTGGAAATGAAATATATACTAGGGACATAATTTTGCTATATCAAGGTGTAATTTAAATTCAGCTACATAGTATCTCTTTTCCATGTTTTTAAGGGACAATACTTCAATTAGGGTATTCGTCTACATGAAAACAGCAGATCTTGATGCCATTACAACAGTACAATATGAATAAATGTATATCTAACAACATTACATTTACTATTTCGATCTTGTGTGTCGGCAGCATAGCGGTTATGACTCTCGCCGACCATGCACATGGTCCGGGGTTCGATCCCCGGCCGACACACACCTAATATCAACTGGTCAGCCTGCAAAACTTGAGCTACCGATATCACATGCTGAAAATTCCATATTTGTACCAAACATACGGTGTGGAATCAAGCTCCAATAAAAAAATAAGCTCACTTGTGTGAATAATTAGAAAATCATTTGAGGTTAGGAAAAGTTAGAAAATCACAACATGAAGACTATATTGAGTGATTTCAAAATAAACTAATCAATAAACAATTGAAACTGTTAGGTTATGACTTTACACTTGTGTTAAACAAGCGCATGCTTTTAATAGACTCTTAGCGATTCAGCATTGTTTCATATAGAAAATCAAAACATGTGACTCAGCTAAGAGACTCTTTTCAACGAATTTATTATCAAGTTGTAGCAGTACATATATATATATATATTTATATACGGTTACATAAAACAGTAACAGTATGAGATTCAATAAAATATTTGTGATTATAATCATAGTTAAATATCAAGTGGAAAAACAATTAATGTCATACATAGAATAATTAATAGGATGTACAGGACTTGTAAGGGGTGTACAGTTATAGGATTAGTAGGCAAATCGAATAAAACAAAAACGTTACATAACATTGTGTGAAATTTGACAACATAGAATTTAACATTGCAAAACAGAACTGATTTAGAATGACAAGTGGAATGAGTAAAATAATACCAGGAACATTTCGAAGTGAGAATAATAATAATCATAGTATCAATTGACGTAATAAAGGAAGAGTATACAAACTGAGTTAGCAAAACGAAAAATTAGAAGAGTCAAAATATGAATAGGGATTACCATACTTCGGCATAGACGGATTAAGACCATGAAAGTTGGCCGAGTTGAACGAACTTCTTCTGTATACAGAGATCTGGCATTTCTGTTTCAATAACCGAGGCTTCAGAGATACAGACGAGTCGGTTAAGTAGTGATTTGTGCAAATTACTTTTCACCTTGTAGATGACTTTAAAGGCGGAGGCTGTAGAGACTGGATAATTAGAATAGTAGTGCAGAAAACATTTCATATATACGTGTTGTGCACAATGATATATAGAGTCCGTAAAATGTATTGCAGACCATCAGTAATAATGAGCATCCGAATGAAGCAGTAAGCATCAAAGAGCTACAGTCAATCAGCAGTTGTAGCCATATGGTTGACCTGACTAAATTTTGAACTCTGGTGCACTACATCATTAAACACGTGCCGTCAATTTTACATATTCATTGAATTTGAAACTTCTCTTGTTTATTCTAAACTGTTCTTGTATTTATTTCTACGAACTGACAAGTTTAGTAATGACTCCTATGGTTTCAATTATGGTATGTAATACCATAATATGAGTCAACAAAATCAAGAATTATGGTGAATCTTAACTATTGCATACACTGGTAATTGTGAAACAAGGTTTAAACATTTTTACAGACTGTAATGCAACTCGTATTATTCATAATATCTGACATATCTGTTCTGAAGAAGTTTTTGTTAGAAAATAAATCATGGTGATTCTGTGAGGAGAATATTTCGCTACTAAACCATAATATGGTCGTATTCTGAAGTGATCATCATACCATGGCGAGGATATGACTCAGCGATTTATACACTTAACTTCCAAAGGAAACACGTCACACATATGAACCCCGTGCAAGAATCCACGACAAATCTTCAAATCATCTAAGTAGCTTCAGTCTTTGCATATGAATGAATAATTCTGATAATAAGAATTCTACCTGGTCCCCACAATGAGGAAGGTTGAGTGTCGTCTAAGTGGATGAATGACCACATGAAGGTTTATACAAGTGGAGAATAGCTTCAACCAATCTCATCCACCTATCTTCACATGGTGTTTCACTTTTTCGGCGTTTATTGGAGAAATATTAGATTATCAATATTCTGAAGAAATTGTTGAAAACAGCTTTTCGCTGAAAAAAATCATATTGTTCTGATATCACTGTGGAGATATTTAATTTATTTTGAAATTATTCAGAGGTAGAACGCCTAATGTGTTACAGCTAATATCTCCACAACTTAAATAAAACTGAGTATTCATAATCAACAGTCTTAACACGTCCGTAGTGGATCAAAATAACAGAACTTAAATTATTCTACTTTGGATGAATCGGTCACATTTCTTCCCATTCCCGCTTCAAAGGCGAAATTACTCTTAAATCACCGCATATAATTTTTTGTCCGATAAAAACTGTTGTGAAAATACAGTAACACAATCATCCATTAAATGTGAACTAAAAATGGGTTGGGAATTTTCTTTAAAATTTTAAAACTGCCCAAAAGAATAAACTTCTTTCAGTGATCACTGGCTCTTCTGAATGTTGGGAATATAAATGCTTTATTTGGAAGTAGTTTTGCTTGAAACATTTCTATGAAATGTGTTTTCATAGGAAAGCTTTGAGCGTTAAATACAAGTGAGATACTGATTTATTAATATTATCCATAAAAACTTACCGATATACCGATATCCATCTTCAAAGAATAAAGCACCTGATTTTTGTTCAACTGGTCTAATGGAATGTAAACATTTACTCTGCATTGAATCTTGTTTCGCACGTCTACGTCTAAGAACATATCCTATTGCGTACACAAGAATAACTGACAATAAAAATGACACCGTAACTGTCGACAAAATAATAAAACTGTTCATAGATAGTTGAGAATGGTTCTTCCATTTTGTATAAAAATTAATTTGATTTTCAACTGCTCGGTTTTCATCTTCTTCATCTACAAAAGAATCAAGTGTTGTTTTGGTTTCTGAAGGTGTCGAATTTACGACTTTTATGTGAAGTGATATGTATGAATGTTCAGAATGTGGTATGCCTAAATCATAGGCTTTAATATTTATGGTGAATACCTTATTTATATCTGATTGAGAAAATTGTGTATTTAGACGTAGTATTCCACTGAGTGGATTTAATGAAAACAAAGAATTCTTTGATACTTTTTCGTGGGTGTAGTTTAATTTGTTTGGCGACAAGAAATTCTGCACAGCATTCATTTCAGGTTTTCCTGTGACATCTGGGCTAAATTCAGCTGTCACATACTGAATTTTATATCTCACAGTTCCATTTTTCCCCGCGTCATCATCCATAGCAAGTAACTATAAAAATAAATTAGATATAACAGTGAACACTTACTTCTCAGATTACTGATATTTCAGTAAAATTCTTTGTGATGTATTCAGATCAAGGATATATAGAGAGATAAATTTAGCAATTTCGCTGACAGTAAAACTAAAGTTTAAGTATCTGTTGGAGATAACGCTGGATTATTTATTTTTTAAAGGAATCCCTTCTTGCAGAGAACTATATTACTGACTTTTAATTTTGTTCCAGTCAGTAATTTAGGCGGTTGCTTATTAGAGAGGGAGATGAACATGTTTTCATCTTTCCTTCCATCGTCCTTTTCGATGCCTTTATACTGTTAATATTTTTTTCAAAAAGTAATGTTTTAAGAATATTACATTGTTTGACAATTGATTAGGCTAATTAATGTTTTCAGTAATGATGCTCTGTGAATGTATTACTTCGTTAATAATCTTAGATTTCCTATTAGATTTTAAGACAAGTATAAATAATACGAGTAAACAATGTTTTTAGTCACCATACTCTTCGATGTTTTAGTAATTTGACCAAGAAATCATGCAATAGTTTTCTTTTAGTTATCAAGTAATATTATTATGGATACTTAGAAATCTATGCCGTAAACGTAAGTAATGATTTTCCAAGGTAATAAAGTGTTCATTTATGAGTCAGTTACCTAGGTGCTCGCTGGATCAGTTACACCAACAATAATTAACAAATAACATTTTGTGGGTTAGATAAACATTTGAAATAACCGCTGGTGAGAAGGAGTAAGGGGTTTAAGGACTCTGGCGACGGTAATTCTTATTCCCACCATATATATGATAAATTTAATACCAAAAGAATACATCTACCATGATTCTGTGACTCATTGAAATTCATGAAAACTGCACATCCACACATCCTTAACTCTTTGAGTCTGTCAAACACCAAGTTACTAACATGAGTTTGACTACGGAGTGATGTCAGTCATAAAGCCTTTGAAAACCAGAGAGTACGGGACAGCTGTTTCATCCTAGTTTGATATCAGTCCGTGGCCAAACTAGTATAAAACAAATCTAATCCTTACAAACCAAACTCGACTAAGTATTCTAGAGATTCATTTTAATCAGTGTATTCCAATTTGTCGGATAAGCTAAATATATGTATCCTTAGAGGTAAAGGTTTCACTGATACAGTAATATTGTTTTTGGATTTCATCATGAGCTGACATTAGTTAGAGAATCATTGGAAAACCTGGGAGTACTGAGCAGCTGTTTCGTCCTAGTTTGGGACTCTTCAGTATTAATAATTCTGATAATAATGGTTGCAATGGAGGTAAACGAAATAATTCATACTGCTTCTCACTATCTGTTTTCAAGTTATACACTGAATTAATATCACGGGTAAATATTTTAATAACAGATTCATAATGTCTTCCAATGGTTTGTGCCAAACACTTCCATTGTATATTAGACCATTTTGATGGAAATATATCTTGATAAATTTCAGGATTTGTGATAAATAGGTAGCAATTGTTGTTTACGAGCTCGTCTTGTAACCAGAAGGTCCTGGGTACTGCTGTAGAGTCTCAAATTAGGACGAAACAACTGTCCAGTACTTCCAGGTTTTCCAATGGTTCTCTAACTCATGTCAGCTCATGATGAAATCCTGTAACCAATCAAATCCCTACAACCCAACACTTGAATATTGTTTATTCTACATTACGAAACGCTCAGCTGTGTGCAAGAAACCACTTATCAGTCAATAATAAAACATCTGAAAATTGGCGAGTTCAAGTTAATTAATGAATAATTTCAATACTTCTTGTGTCACTGCTTCATTGGTAGAATAGGCGCGAACCACGTACGTGGCCCTGGTTTCGATTCCTTGCTGGCGTTTTCCTAAACCTCACTTAGTCGGTAGTAAGTCCGGTAAGGAGGAAAAGTTAAATGTGAAGGTAGCAACCCATACATATAAAGACAGAAACATAGTGGAAACTTCAAAGCGTGAAGCCCTCTCTCCAACTAGGAATGGAAAGGAATGAAAAGGAAGAAGAAATTGAGTAATTAAGACTGGATTTGAACGGCTGTAATCAACTTATCTCCATTTACATCCTAGCACTTTACTAATATGATTTTGTTATTGTCTACTAGCCTTTCTATGCAAATGAGTGATGAAGTCTCTCTCTCTCTCTCTCTCTCTCTCTATATATATATATATATATATATATATATATATATATAATTTCATCTAGAATCAAGTGAAGTCCCATTATTAATAAAATAATATAAAATTTTGACAGATATACGCACTTACTTTTCCTCTCTAGGTATGAGGAGGATTAAAAATGTAGAACCAACTTATTTTAGGTGAAGTCAGTATCTTTAATCTCTCCATTGACGATGTCTAATTTTTCTCTTCTACTCGTTTTCACACTTTGCGTTTTTACATTTGGCAAATATTTATAAATTTAAAAAACAACTTAATCTTTCCAGTTTTACAATTACCAATAGTTGTTTCTTTGATCCACATATTTTTACTCGTATTATGTTTTGTGTTCTGTATTTATATAATTCTCACTCCACCCAAAATTACCTTTAGGACTACTACAAAGTGAATGCGCGAACTGGAGATCCTATGCAATTTGGTTGATCTCATGTTGTCTGCACTACTTTATGTGATAGTTAGCTTACCTCTAACCCAAAAGAAATCATTTTATTCACAGGCCGTTTAATTCATCCCTTATTCAGTTATAGTCTTTTTTACCTACCAGAAATTATCATGACAACGTTATTTTAGCAAATGTTCTCTGTACTTATTTCCTCCAAAGGTGGCTGAGTCTGCCAGAACTTTGTCTTCGATGTTATATTTTTCTGACATGATCCTTACTCTGAATCAGTCAAACATCGAATTATTCAAGAGCAGTCGTTAGCTTTGTCATGATTATTTCCTAGGCAATAACGTTTTTCTACGAATTCACCAAACTTTACGCTATCATCTTCATTTGGCAAAAACAACATAAGTAGTGTTAAGAGTGCTTAGTGAATGTAGATATAAGCTGAAGCCTGGTGCAGAATTGTCTGGAATAAATGAAATAATAAAAGGGTTATTAGAAACGAATCGTATATGACATTTGTCTTCTAGAGTCACCAGCATCTTAGTAAATGACTATTTTTCAGACAGACTCAAACTCATCACATATTGTTTCAATTAATACAACAGTATTAGAAACTTCAGCTAATTTATAAAGCCTTTCAAAAGCCAACATTAGTTATGATGAAAACCACCCACATGTGGAATTCAAAACCTTTAGTTCACTATTGCACATCTACTTCTCTAAACAGTGATCCAATATCTCCAAAAATACCCATTGAGTTATGACGAAAATAAAAGACAGATTCAGCGAAAAAAATTTTCTTTATAGACGAAATCATCTTCAGAGGCCGTACAATCGTATTTACACTTAGAAAAATATACAGTGGTCTATTATTGAGTGATAGGGGTTGACATAATTGATATTTTTTCCCTTCACGTTCCCCAGTGGAACATAGGGCTTCAAGCTAGTGGCTTGAAGTTTCTGTAGCAGTGTTTATTTTACAGGATCGGGTCGCTAGCCTCATGCCCAACCTTTCCACTTTACCAGCATTATTTCTGGCTTAGCGAGGTAAAGGAATGCGTCGGCCGAGGGTCGAACCCTGGACCATGTGCACGGTCGGCGAGCGTCTTAACCGCTATGCCACCGACGCAAGTGGCTTTAGGAGTGAAAATCAAAGCCGCTTATGAGTAATTACATAAATTATGTCAACCCCTATTACTCAATAATAGACCACTATATATTTTTCTAAGTATAAATACGATTGTACAGCCTGTGAAGATGATTTCGTCGATAAAGAAAATTTTCCTTGCTGAATCTGTCTTTTTTTTCTTCATGATCCAATATCTATTATTTTGAATTTATTCTTCTTACTAACAAGGTTTTTATCTCTGATGAATTCAAGCGCATGAAGCATACACGAGAAAATTCACTGTGCAATCTCACCAGATAATGAAAGTGAAATTACACAAAAAAGTAACATTTATTCCTTGATATTTATGATTAAATATTATTCTAGTCAGGGAAAGATTTATCATAATCACCTTTTTATTCATTATGTAATTAGGCATGTAAAACAGGAATCGGAATCTTTATTTGTGTTTTTATTCTGTTCGTTTTAGTTAGAAGAGATACCACTATTTTGTGTTAATAATATATATATATATATATAAGGCTGTTGAAATAATCAGGAAAACCTCCTTTAGTTTATCGTATAGTTAATTTTACCGAATAGAATGTGCTTCATAGGGCTTTTTCTTGTATGTTTAAGATGTCAAGAGTCCTTTTAGTCCAGAAATGAAGTGTTTCGTCATTCCTTTACGTTCCCAGTGGAACATAGGGCTTCAAGGTAGAGGCTTGAAGTCTCGGTAGAAGTGGTGTTTAGTTTTCACGGGATGGCGTCGCTAGACTCATGTCCAGTCTTCCCTCTTTACCACTCTTATTACTAGCTTAGTGAGGGGCGGGAGTGCGTGGGCGGGGATCAAACCCTGGCCACATGCGTGGTCTGTAAGCTTTATACCGCTGTGCCGCTAATGCACCAGAAATGAAGCAGCTGTAAAAAAAATACCATTTACAAGCTTACTTCTAGTAGCTGTGCAACATCAAGGGGAAAAATGTGCTTTTTTTATCCGTAGAATTAATATGCGTTAGTTTTCTTTTGTTATTTCAATTTTCTATACTTAGATTTTTTGTTAATATTTGTTTAATTTAATTTTGTATTCCCGTTGATTTATTAAATAGGCTGAAATGAGCATCCTCGATCCACCAGAATAATGGAAGTGTCTGTATTAGAAGCCCGCATGTCAGCAAAGATCATGCACTTTGGTCCACTGTAAACGATCAACAAAAAACACAAAATTCACTTTTACAAGTAGTTGTTGATACCAGTTGTACAACAGGTAGTTCATGGTCAAAGCGACCTAGTGGACAATGCTTTTGCGT